TATTAATTTACTAATATTATTACACGATTAAATAAACTAATTCATTATAACTATGAATGATTTGGTTGATCATATTATATAGTTGGAGATATTAATTCAATAATTATGTTCACCGATTACAAACACTTCAAATACAAATAATAATAATAATAACAATATTATAATTATTATTGTGTGTGTGTGTGTTAGGTGTGTGGGTGGTGATGTAGCATGATGTGAGTGGTGATGTGTAAAATTTTGATTTTTTTTAACGTTGGATCCTCCGATCTAATAGTTAAAATTTATTCTTATTTATTTCATTAAGCACTATTCTAGGTGAGAATGATGCTCAGTGAAAGAAATAAGAAAACATCGCAGGCATTAGATCGGATGATCCAACGATTTAAAAAAAAAAATCAAAATTATACATTCATTAAAGGTATTGTGGTAATTTTTTACACCACACTCAAAGAGGTGGGCCCTACACCAATTAATACATGTGCCAACTAAACAATCCCCCACTCCCCAAGTCAACGACTCAACAGCCCCACCCCACCTGACACTCTCTCACACGCCTACACACACCCACACACTCTGTCGAACTGCCACCGGTAACAATGCGCCGCCGCGTGCAGACTCACGACCACCATCACCCTATTCTCACACACTACACACACGCATACAGACTCACTGCCACACCCACCATCAAGCCAGACGAATTTTCCGTTGCCGCTGCCGCTCATAGAAAGTCACCGCCATACCCACCATCAAGGTGGACAAGACCACCACCGTTGCGGCACATATTCATCGCCACAACCATCACGACAGGGCCGCCACTGTCGCACGGGCCGCAACTTGTTTTATCTAATTCTAGTTCCAAATTATAATATATTGCCACGTAGGTGGTAGGCACGATTAATATATTGTACTTATGGGATAATTTATGTAATAATTTTATGCTGATTTCTGTAACTTTGATAGAGAATTTAGGAAGGAGATGAAAGGGAAGATAAGTAGAGAGATAAAGTAGAGAGATATAAAATTAGTTGTGAATTTCATAAAATTCTACAGAAAGTCTGACAATAGCATAAATCACCCTCAAGCAGGTCCCACAGACAGCATCTCCTAACAAACTGAAAATTGGGCCTAAGTTGCAAACAACCCCCTAACAAAGACTTAACAATAACAATAGTAACAATAGTAATGATATAAGCCCAACTAACAATTATTATTCTAGCCCAAAACGCAACCCAATGCCTTTTGATTATCTTCCTCGTTGGTCACGTCTGTCTCATTCTCAGTTGCAATTTTCCTTTTCTAAAACCCTAAAGCTCTCTCGTCCTGCGTCTCGACCCCCTTAACCTCCATAGAATCGCCCTCTTCACCTTCAATCAAG